TAGCCGCTCACTAAGTATAAACCACAAAATTACTTCATTTTTTTTCAAATTAACAAATTATATGCAAAAAATAGCACGATACTTATAAAAATAGCAGAAAAAATGYAAAAAYYCTAAAATATGCAAAAATATGCACTAAAAACTTTTAAAGCTGCATTTGTTTTAGTAGGAAACGGATTTGTAGCTTACTCTGTTATATTTTAACATATTATTATAAATAAATATACAAATGCTAGAAGTCTCAAGCCCTGTTAATATCTAAATACAAATATATGATGCAAATGAATGTATACATAATATAATGCATTGTTGAAATGTTTAATCTAAGTAGGTATACTTTATACATAAGARTAATCTAGTATTAGGTAATATAAAAATCCAAGCATAACATAAAAATATTGAAAAATACCGTTTCTAGTGGTCACATCGGAAAGATGCAAAATTGTTATTAAAATTTTTGTAAAAACCCAATATCACCCATCACTATAAATGACCAATATCAATTAATTTATTTGGTAGGTAATGAAAATGTTCTGGAACAGTACAAAGCCAGGCAATTGACTGCCTGATAGTCAATATTTAAGGGACATATTTCAATAGTATTGATATATATATATATATATATATTATGGCATAGTGTAGGTTGAATTTGAAAAATAGTTTCCATTACTGTATTTTGTCATGCAATAAATATTGATGTACCTGCATGTTAAGCGTCGTAGGCGTAATCAACTACTGGATGCATCTGATCAACTCCAACCGTTTTTTCTTTATTTCAACGCACAGGAACCAACGACGATATATCTGAAATAGGCATCAGACGCATTTTACTGGGCTTGGGGAAATCTTACTGCAAATTGCGAAACGAGATAATTAATTTCGAAACTTCAAAAATATTAGTGAAGGTACTCGACTGGTGGCCGAGTAGGTGATCAACGATCTTGTATGCATTTAATAATAATTAAAAAAAAATGTATTATGTATATTGTAAACAAAACACACTCATACGCACGTACACATATACACACAAACGGCACACAGGACACAGGACACAGGCGATGGACGATATGAAAATAAAAAAATTACAAATGCGCACGCGTAATGGCTTACAGTCGATAATAGTATCGATTAATTTAATGTTCCATGAAATTATGCGATCTTTCCATGACTTTTTTTTTTAAATTTCATTTAAAAAAATACAAGCGTTTAAATTTTAAATTTAAAACCTAGTAAGAGAGTAAGACCATGAAAAACCATAAATTCAGTTATAATTATTTATAATTACTAGCCACTAGGTAATATTATATTTAATATACCTACCTAGCTACTTAATAATATTGGTTTAAGAGTAGGAAAGTACCTWTATTATTATTACTGTTCTGCAGCTGTTTGTATTTTAGTGTGTAATGTATAAGATGCCTGTATGTATAAAACTCTGTGGATATAATTATATAAGCATCCAACTATTTGTAAATTAATTAGAAAAATAACAATGGAACTTTCCATAGATGAAGCGAAATTAGCTTTAGATGCTGTAGGAGATTCCAGAAAGTATTGAAAACTAGGACAATTTCGGAACATAGAAAAACATCTTCAAAATGTATGTAGGTACTATCACAGGTACCTATACAAATAGATAGGCAGTATGCAAACATAAGCAGGCAATATCGGTGTGTTAGATTTTTAACAGCCGTAAGTCATCATAACATTCATAACCTAAGAAAATGGTGTGCCTAAATACCTAAAATAATTACCAAATGGCTTATTATTATAATTATAATAATTTACATTATTTTTATTATATATTATTATAATAACTATATAGGTATTATGATTGTATTAATTTAGACATGTGCAGGTTTGTGCAGGTCTGTCACTTATAGGCGTTAGGGGTATTTAAGCATTAAGCTGTACGTTGCCATATCATCACGGCTTTTGGGGACAAGGGCGCCTCAAGAGTTATCGTAGGGTAGGTAATATTAATGATTCCAAAATTAAAACAATTTATTAATTTACAAAAATGTGTAGGTACCTACGTCATGGCTACACAGTTTAATTGGTACCAACTATCAAAAGCTGATGCCTGATACTAGGAAATACTTTAAATCATTTGGTTACCTAGCATATACCAACTTACAATTCACAACATTAAAACTGTACACRATATACTTTATTATTATTATAATTAATAAGTTTATGTTTAACACTAATTTCAAACAATGATAAAAATAATATCTTTGAAATGTTTTACATTATAATTTGTCTTGTGGTTATTAAATTCTTGGTTTTTACAGGTAAAAAATTGTATGTTTKCAAGAATCTATGGGTATCAACATTGATTATAGAATGTCTATTCTATTCTACAATCAATTGTATCAACAAGTTTACTAGTTGCTGTACTTTAATACTTGTTCGCCATTGGATGCCGAGAAAAGTTTTAGATACATTATTAGTTTATTTCTGTCTTTTTTTATAATCCAGAGAAGTAGAYGTTGAGTGCATGGGATTAATTGTGCAATTGTTGCACTTAAATTAATTCTGAAATAATTAAATAACATTTAAAACATACAATTACTACTGTTAAAATATTTTTATTAACACTATAATATTGGTTAAAAATTAATTTTAATTATATCTAACAAAAATGTATCATATATTTACGCCACATGTAGATAATAATAACAAATATGTAATAACTAAAAACTCATAAATAATAATAATACTCAAGTCTCAACTACAATTATAACCAGAAGCAGATTAGCAAGGTTTCAGCCCCTCAAGTTTTAGAATTTCTAATTTTTACTACAGCTACAATTACTAATTTACAGTTTAATAATTTGATTTAATTATATTTTTTTTTTACTTATATTTGTACCAATTCTTCATTATCATATAAAAATTAAAATTACGGCCAAGCACTTATGACCGACTACTGTTACTACAATTTATTTATAGTTCTCTATGGATAAAAGATAATTTTTATAATTTATTTTTAATTTTTCTACTAGTTAAGTGTAGTAATATTAGGTTTGTAAGCTTGTAATAACTTAAAACCTGGAGATCCCTCTGGTTCATTTTTAAGTATATCTAATGCTTTAGATAATAACACTTTAGCTTCGTTAAGCATTCCTTTACTTTCTGCTTTATTTTCTGATATTCTTGCAGCTGATTCCAACAAAGCCAAATGAAGTTCATATAATATCACTGAAGTATAAATGTTCAATCGTGTGTATAATGGATCAATGATGTTTAGTACGAAAAACATGTCTCTGCATAGTTCTATAAAATAATATTAATGAATTTCTTATTTTTTTGTTAAAACTCATAATTTAATACCAATTTTTCTTTTCAATAAATCATCAGTTAGCATTGAATGTTTGTAACCCATTGAATGACCATATAGCTGTATTAATGTATGTTTTACATTAAAACATAAGTAATGATTTGAATGAACACGTGTTTTTAATTTTGAAAAAGCATCTTCTAGTGAATTTATACTTGGATTCTAAAATWAAAATAATATAATTTTGTTGTTACTGGGTAATAATTAACTCAATATTATATACTAATACTTGAAGAGCTTTATCAACAATGTGATTTAACCCTATTAAAATTGCATCAATTTTATCTGATGAAATAGTTGTCGGACACCTATCACACTCCCATTCACTGAAATCATCTAAAGGATGTATTGGAGTGAGATTTCCTTTACAAAAATCTTTCACCTATAAAATATCCAAATTATTAAACATTGCATACATTATTATTAATATAATATGTTTATCAAATATCAAAATAATATATATTTATTAAGCCAGTACATTGATTAGTAAGTAGAGTTAAAATATAAAACTTACGTTACATACAATAGTACTAAAATKAGTACCCAGTTCTGTAGCATCGGAACATCTTTTACAATTACATTTAAAATATTTTGTTGACAAAAGATGAGCTCTTCGTTCTCGGGTTCCCCATAACGCGTTAGTGTACATGGTAGTTATATGTTCACCTCTTTCATTAATTCATATGTATAAATATTTCACTATTTTAGTTTTTTTAATTTAAATTTAAATGTTCTTACTTGGCAATTTTACGAGAAGCGTAAACATAAATACGTCCACATTTATCAAATGATATGCCAGTGTTTGGTAAACAGTTGTGTTCTAGTTTGCTTACTGTAGGGTATATAGCAGTTAACTCTAATCCGGCTACTAGAACGTCTAAAGCATTTATGTCTAAAATACCACAAATTTTGTGTATAAGGTCTGACGAAGTATCAAATTCTTCTCCACTCAAATAATTATTTTTTAAATAATTATATACTGAATTRATCTCCCTAAATAATATTAATTATTTGAATACTATGTTATTTTGAAAACTAAAAGTTTTTAAYATTTTTTTATTATGTATACTACTTACTCGTATACTTCTGATTCTGGGCCTCTGTATTCCATGTGACTCTCTAATTCCATTAGACAATTCCATTTGTTTTTATTTGTGAATTGTAATAATAGACATTTTAAAGGAGTAATAGCATCATACATGTAATCATTATTTTTGGCGATTTTTTCTGATCCTTTAACTAACACTTTACATTCATTTTCRTGAGTATTTTGATTGATTGATGTTGCACATCCTGTACCACAAATGGGCCATAAACACTTTTCACACAAAGACTCAACTACAGACTCTGATCTTTTCAAWCGTTGTAARCATTTAATGCATATTGGTTCTGAAGTTGGAAACTTAGGACCTATAACTAATGGTTCTTCTTGAATTATAATTTCAGATGGATTAATAATACGTTTAGCTATCAGATGACGACCTACAATAGAATCTATATGTAACTAAAAAAAAAAAAACATAAATATATTGTTTTTAAATATCAATAAATTTAAATACCTCATAAGCTATACATTCATTTTTATGTTGTTTCCAATGAGCTTTTTGATGTTCCTTTGAACAATATACAACCAATGTGCATGCTGCACATTTACTACTTGCACTAATGCCACAAACTGCACATTGACTATTAATTTCCAAATRTTTAAAAATTATTGCATCAGACTTCGCCATGTTTGATGTTCACACTGACTTCTGATTTAGTGTTTCATAAGTAATGTGCAACAAATATATCCCCCCGCACAGCATTATAGTACTATTATCTATTTTTGAAGACACTATAAATACACTGATCAAATGGTTCCCAAACTAGATGAATGAATAATACTTGAGAATTGATATCATAAAAAGTATCATTTATTTTCATATTACTTAAAATTATATACATATGCATTATTATTGCTCTAAAACATAAAMACAGCAAGAAAAATTTAAAAAATAATAAAATAATAACACTGTATACAAAATATTTACATTAATTTAATCTGCATGTTCATGCTGTGCTTCAGCTTCACGCCATATGTTTTTTATGTCTTCAACAAATTTTCTCCAGAAATGCATAGTCCTAACATAAACTAGAGTCCAGAATATAATTACAAACCAT